AAAAAATTAAAATGTTGAAAGTTGAAAATGAAACATCTAATCTACATTATTAACAATATTATTCATTAATTTAACCAATAAAGAAGAACAAAATAATTTTTTTATTCATAAACTTATCAACTTATAGAAAATAATTATTCCCTTTTTGAATTTTTGTATTGTATGCTGATGTGAATTTTCACTTCAAACGTACATATGATCTACAGTAAATATATCGATTGTTGATCTAAAAAAGGTTACTTTCGGAATTATTTGATATTTTCATAATTGATTTACTCATAAAAAGTTAAAGCGTTAGTTCAAAAGCATACATGACATGTAGACGTAAACCTTTTTTAAAAAAATTAACTGAAATCGTACGAAATGTCAAGTTCGAAATAAAGATTGAATTTAATTGTCGAAATTATTTTAAAAGCTTTTTTTTAAAAAAAATATATTAGAAAATATCTGTCTTTTTATAGAACAACTCATAATTAATTTATTGTTTACCTATTTTGAGACATTTCATTAATTTTTCATTCTAGATATATTTTTTTATGTTTAGGTAACAAATCTTTAAATAACGATTTTGCTCCTAATTCAGAAATTAACCGATGAGCGTTACTAGATATAGCGCAGAAATCTGAGATGCGCCTTCCTCAAATTTACAAAATTATAAACTTTTCGTTATTTTCCGTTGTGGTGATTACGCTTTGTGTTACGTATAATTAAATAAGGAAAGAAAATTAATTGTTCATAGACAATAAAACAATGATATAATGAGAAAATTAATTAACAAGATAACCGTTTAACCAGTTAATTAACCGGTTTCCAAGCTTTAAAAAAAGTTCTTTTATTTTTTTTTTACATTTTTAGTTAACAATAATGATGTAACACATTATAGGCTAAATATTTTTTTTATCGAGCAAATTATTTCTTAGAAAAGCAGAAAAAAAAACAATGTCGTGTCGTTCCCACAAAGTTAAATGAATTTTCTATATTGGGCTAGATATAGATGAAAATTTATTGCTTTATATAATGATATAATTTATTTTTTTGTTACAAAAAATTTATAATTTTAAAAAAAGAAAAAAGATGCAATTTCCACACTGTATTCTATTTGTTGTTTTTATTATCAACCTTTTTGTATCCTATAACCCGACACTATGCAAAACATACAACTATACTAGAGAATATCTTCTTAATAACAATCTTTTTTATCTTGAACCACCGCAAACTGCCTTTACTCTAGACATCAAACCCATAAGTTATCCCGATAAATGTGACTTAAAACAATTACATTTGGTTACTAGACACGGTAATTTATAATAGTGCAAAATCTACAAAGTTAGCATCATGAAATCACCCTTTTTTTCTTTTAATTATTAGGATCAAGATATCCAGATCCAGGGCGTATTATAGCTTTTGACGAATTGGAAAAAATATTTTCTAATGTTTCAGTTGCAAAAGATTGGGTAAAAGGATTTACAATTAAATCATAATTAAAATTATTTTTTCGTTTTAACAAGGAGATCTATATTTTTAGTATAAAAATCCTTTTCCCATGAGTAAAAATTTACAATTGATCAAACGAGGGGAAATCGAACCTTATTTTGATGGTTTACAATCCCGTAAAAGATATGCAAAGTTTTGGGA